GTAAGTAAACTGACCGTTTGGAAAATGTAAGTTAAAGGACTCTGCCTGCAAAATCTTGGTGGTGCAGCCTTGGGTGTGCATACCAAATCGGGGTTAGATACCGTCAAACTACTAGAGGGCACCGTCAAAATACCGGAAGCGATCCAACAAGCTCAAGCTTCCGACCGGAGCTCTTGAAGCTCCTTGAGGGGCAAGTAGATACATGAGACGCCAGATTGCGGCGAGCGAGTCTCTGAGGGGCAGAATCTTGTGACGACAGCATAGTAATCGAACTGCGCCGCACCCCTCCAGTATCGACTCGGGACGTCAAAGTAAGCTGAATCGTCTGACATTCGAGAGAGACGTGAGATAAGGCGTTGGTGACGAGGGTTTCGGTAGCAGTTACCGACATGTGGGAAAGGGTTTCCAATTCGTCCGCTGTACCACCTACCTTCCCACACATCACACCTTTCAGCTCAACTACTACCTGACCTTTTCCACGACCACCACCACATGCTAGGCAGCTAGCTTTCTCTGTGCCTTCCGGGGACCTTCCTGACTCTCCGGATGTCGGGTGTCTGTGTCGTGCGTGTGATACCTATCGTGGCAGGTAGGAGAAAGAAATCTGATAGGAGCAATGGACGGTTACGGATACAGGTTACCTAACATGACATGACGCATTGTCGATCCTTCCCTGTTCTCCTTCCTGCCTCCCAGCGTTTTTTTTCCCCTCATACTTTCTTAACTGACCAAAAAGAGAGCAAAAACTTTTCAGAGACACACATGCCGCGCGATTTCTCAATTGGGAATGCCGCATACGCAGTGCTATGTTTGTCTCGACTTCGAGTTGCACCTCCCTCGCCTTTACACAAATATGGCAAGCATCAAACGCCGTTCTTGGTCATTTTTATTTCTCAAACTGGACTGCTCATTGATGTCAACGGCAGCCAAGTTGACAACGGCGTCCCAGCCTTTACTGCAAGCCTTTCTTTTTCCAACCTCACGATCATGTAATTTTGTCTCAGACATCTTAAGCCTCTGAGGTCAAGGCCTCGGGAGATCGACGTCGGTAATCGCAAAGTGTGGAGGCGAGTGTCTCTCATTGCGCGGCTGTGGTTCGCTGTCTTCTTTAGCCTTGCAGTGAGGTGTATATACTCGAGTACAGTACATGGGCTATGCATATGTCTCGGCGCTCGGTGGTATTTGGTTGCCCAAGCTCTGCAGCGAAAAAGCTGGTAAACTTGGTCAAGGTTTGTCATGAAAAGACAACTCTAGAGTCTACAGAGACTTCTCTTTCTTGCTCTCCATCCCAACCCCCTCAAACCAGGAATGAAACGGGGCACAAGCTCGTCGACAAACAGCACTCATCCCTACGGGGCCTCCCCTTTGCCGTACGGCTGCCGTTTGCCTTGCCCCCCCGCAAACATCCCATATGTTCGATCGACAGTCCCTTTACTCGCCCCCGCTGCAGAGATGCTGTAGGTTTGAAAGCCTCGTATCAGCCTCTCTGCAGTTGGCAGCAGCTCACGTTGCCGAATCGGAGTCAAACCGAGAAGGCTTCCCTCAAGCTGTCATTGGGCCATCTGGATATGCCTTTACACATTCCTGGGCGCGGACCACCTCGTCATGTCGAGCTACAAGCCTTACTACATATCTGGCAGACTTATCCCTGACCAGAATTGTATGCCCCTCCCCCTCCCCACATCCACGCCACCAGGGACATTCCTACGTCTTCCTCCCTAACCTTGTTTATGTTTGGCCCGTTTTGGACAACCAAGTGTAACATCCTTCCCTGCGTGGCACCGCTGGAAGAACAGGGATATATATGCGTGGTCTATGCTTTCGCTGCCCCGTATCCCGGTTCCAGACTTACAGCAAGAAGACGTATCTAGAATATAGGAGCTTCAGACATCTCCTTACTATCCGCCAAGCACCCCGATATTATATATTATTCCGCCAGTTCCCGGATCCCTTTTGGTATCATCACACTCTCAAACCTCAACACTATCTTCGGTCCCTGGGCTCCGGTGATTATCTTCTCTCCCGAGTCTCGGTGTTCTGCCGCCATCATCCAAGATGAACGGACCAACAAAGCTTTCGGAGGAACTGTCCATCCCTCCACTCAAAGAACGAAGACCCTCCCAAGTGTCAAACTACTCTTACCCCCGTCCCGAATCCCCATTCTTCTTCATACCTCAATATGAAGTCCGCCGGGGTTCGACCGGATCTGACGATTCGATGCCAGGGATGATAGAAGATCAAGGCTCCGATGTCTCTACAGAAGACGACTATCAGTCCCATGCCATACCAGTAGGGGGCACCGACTTGTGGGATTCGTTCTGGCAAGCCCGGGTGCATGAGGAACTTGGTGGTGGAAGACAATATCCAGCACTGCTCGAGACGACACAAGTCCCATTGACGAGCCAGGAAGGGCAGCGGGATCGAGCAGGAAGCCAACTCAGCCAGCGGGATTCTACCTGGCCACTGCCTCTTACTACATCTTCTCCAAATAAACGACAGACTAGTTCCAAGGCTCCCCCTCCCAGGGCATCATATTCCCTTTTCCCCTCCAAACATGACGGCCCGCCTACGACGCCGCCTCGAAGGTCATCTCTCCCAAAGGAATCCATTGAGAATGAGACGGATTCACAAGCTCCAGCCTCGCCTACAAAGCCCAAAAAGGTCAGCATGGCAGCCAAGACGATAAGACTCGTGGACGCAGCTCCGACACCAAGGCCAGCACCACGGAGACCACTACCCGCAACTCCCAGGCCACAAGGTAGAGCCAGGACAACAACCATATTAACAGCTTCAACTCTGCATACAAAACCTCTTCCCAAGACACCCGATGAGAAACGAGCAAGCGTCCGTCGGGTCTGGGGGGCCACACAAAACCAACAACACAAGCGATCAATCTCAAAAACACCTACTCAATCTCTCCCTCTGCTGTCATCATCCACAATACAAAGGAAGACGACAACACCGCCATACAAGCACCAGTATTCGCAGAGCCAGACTGTCCACGTTAATCGTCCTGTCCCAGCAGCAGCAGCAGCAGCACCTCCTCAAAATGTCTCGGTATTCGAGTTCTCAGACGACGAAGATGACGAGCATGTCCCCAACAATCGCGGTCTTGCTCGCCGTCTTGTTCGCGGCCTGACTCAGCATCGGGACAGGAATGGAATGACCAAGGCACAGGCACAGGTGCAGGCGAGACTGAATCACCAGCGGAGTGTCAGTGACGGTCTATCAACAACCACAACGACATCATCATCATCCACAAGCAATCTGCTCATTAAGACGGGTGGAAGTTCCCGACCGCAGCAGAGGGAGAGGGCAGTCACTACCGGGACTGTTGGGCTACTCGGTTCTGCTGCCATGCGACCGAGTACATCTGCTGGGGTCTTGGGCGCCGGTTCGGAAGGTACACGACAACAAAGTAACGTCAAGGAAGGTGGTCGGTCTACCAGTTCCAGGCCTTGGTTGTTGAGTCGCAGTCGGCAGGGCAGTGAGCTGTTTTTTGGTCGCTTTTTGGGAAGAAGGGGCAGCAGTACCTGACCTGACCTGACCTGACCTGCTTGCCCTCACCACTGGGTATATTGGAGATGGGGTTATGAGTTTTTGACGACGACGACGACGACGACGATGACGATACATTCATTTGAACCAAGTAACATGAAGGGTTTGATGATTGTTATGATATTTTATTATGTTTATGATACCATTATTAGACTACCTACCTACCTACATAGATGGATATGGATGGGCATGGGCATGGGTGGGCGCACTCTCTGGAGGCTTGTACGAGGTATACACTGGCATGTACCACCAGCATCAGGAGTGGGATGAGTGAACCAAAAGTTTTGGTCTTTTCAATATGTATTAAAGTACATCTGTGTAAAAAGGTGAGAGGTACCAACCATACTGGTGGTGGTGGTGAAAGTTATAAAACACATAACATAACATGAATGATGTATGCCCGGGCTGTCGAGCCGGCTGGAAAAGAGAAACTCAAAACTAGATTATTATTATTGTGTCTATATGTGTTCATCTCACGTTGCTTCAGCAGCCCCAAATTACATGTACCAAGTGAGTGAATCATACTTTGTGTGTTGACTTGCATCAAGACGAGCACGCACATAGAACCTCACGTATGTATGTGTATGTATGTAGCTGATATTGGCCAGACATGTCGCCGCCGACTGAAGATGTGGTATTTGTTAGACGATCACCAAAGTAACAAGTCACGAATAGTAGAAAACCTCAAGAAAGGATCGAGTTTAAACTCACGACCACCATGTCAGACAGAAAGAGTTTACAGGTAGTTACATGTAGCCGAGGAGAGGCAATCGCATCACATGGCCATGTCATGACTGCATGCATCCTGTCTGTCCACAACTCTATATAATTATTATATTAGGATTCTAAATCCCTATGTACAAATACTACTCGACAAGTACATATATGTACTCGACAATACTGATCACACACACAATGTCTCATATATATATATATACATTCCTTCACAACATGTTACGTGGGGAAGCAGTTACCTATATCTAGGTATATGTATTAGAACTCGAAGTTCTTTGCACGTGGGTAAAAGAAGGGCCGAACTATTCGACAAAGGTAGGCTTGGCCTTTCGGTGCTCTAGCTCTCCATCGGAAGGCAGAGTGCTTGGAACAGGTCGTCCGTCCTCTTACTTGGTTGTTGGGCATAATTACCTGATGTTAATGAATTTAAGGAAGGAGAGGTCGATCGACTCTCGCAGGTCGGAATGACTCGGGACCAAGTGGGTTTGCTGGTCTTTATAAAGCCTTGACTAATTATTAGAAATGTAAAAAAAAGAATTAAGAGAAAAGGCTTAAAATGAAGCTTAAGTTATATATAACTCTTTCTCTGATCGCATGTCATGAAAGGGGTGTTGAGAGAGCACGGAAGAAGAGTTTGGTACCGATTGCTAACTGTGTGCCTCTTAGGGTGAAAGAGGTAGCCAAACTAACATCAATCTTTGTCAGCAGCGGGTTTAGCTCAGTTGGGAGAGCGTCAGACTGAAGTCCACTTCACTCATGAAATCTGAAGGTCATGTGTTCGATCCACATAAACCGCAATGTGTTTTCTTTTTTCTAATTGATTTTTATTTCGTCACCCACTCATTCATTTATTTCTAGTTCTTTACCTCTTTTATCTTTCATTTTGTCATTGTTTGGTCAATTTGTCGTCTCAGATGTGCACTGCATTGCTGGTGTCGTTGCTTTAGCAACAACAATGGGTGAGACCAGGCGATCTTTTGTACCTCGCGTGCCGTTGAAGAGCAGAATGACGCAAGTCTTGATACCCATCGTTCTTCCATGACAAACAACCGGTATTGCGATGGTATATATATATACTAAATATACCGGGAAAATCGGAGTAGATGCATACCTATATATCCGTACTCTCGACTCAATCTGTCGTCAGGGGTACGGATATCTCGTTTCTTCATGGCCGACATTTTGTAGAGTTGCACACTATGTTACTGAATGAATGGCAGGCAGTCAGTGGGATTGCGGGGAAGGAATGTGCTTGTCATCATCGTCAGGAGGATCATCCTCGAGGTTTTGACGATGGAGGCATATTCATATCGAGCCGTTCCCGATGCGGCCAGATTTCTGCTCGGGCCAATTAATACGGTGCTTTCTTGTTGTCGCACGCACAATCCCCACGACAACATCTGGGAAGGATGACCCAAGGTTGGAGCGAGACAGATTGGCTGGCATCCATTCCGGTCGACTGTGTCTATTTCTATCCTTTCAACAAGCTGCTAGGGCTGTGTACATCTTCTGCCAGAGCCAAGCACATGAGACTCGGTTCGTGGTAATGATGTGTGAGGCCTTCGTGATGACAGATGAAGAGAACAGCAGCAGCCAAGAAAGTCTTGGGAGACATCGACGGTGAAAAGTGACACCGCTATTATGTTTGGGATTTTTTCTTCAAGGCTGGTAGAGATAGCACTTTGTTCCTCTTCGGGGTCTTGGGAGAAGGCCAATAAGCCTGGTCTGGACCCTTTTCCCCCCAACGCCCGAATATTGCGACCAATAGAGGTCCGTCCTACGGTACTTGGAGCTATACACGTATACAGATGGATAATCTAATGCGGCTCACATCAGATAAATATCTGTACTGGCTTTCTTGACAAGAACCGCGCCGTAGTGTACCAACAAAAATTCGATAAAGCAAAGCATGATCTGCTAGACATCTACACGTGTAGAACATTTGCCAAGATGTGAAGGTGGGGAGACACAAGGCCCATGTGCTCTCGCATCGTGGGTGGCCATGCACCAGCACGGCCGACGACCACGCCTATGGTAGCACCGAGTTAATATATTTGCAAATAGCCGGGAGAAGAAGAGGTTTTGTTCCAATTTATGCGCTGCTATTTTGGTGGACGGACGGGATTGCCATTGCACACACAGTCTCTCGCCTCTGCCCGCAACCATGGCCCCGCGCTGGCACCCCGGCCCGGAACCTGAAAATGGCTGGTTAGGGTTCGATTTGGTTCGCTGGTAAGTTGGGGAAGAGTCCAGACTTTTGGTGCGTGTAGTGTACGGAGTAAAATGTGTCTTGTGGATTCACAGCCGGGACTCGAGTGACACCGTGACTCGTGGGTATGTAAGTATCGAGGTCCGGATCTGGACATGGAGATGTTGGGATTGTAAATCTCTCTACTATCGAACCCGGTCAAGATGGATGGGTGGTTACTTACTACCAATCTGACATGTATAATCCACTCTGTTGGAGTTCCAGTCCCCGAGCGTTGCGTGATTACCGATTGCTGGGCAATACATATCCAAACTCCTGGGTTTCCGGTTGTACGGAATAGTGTACTGTAGCTGCGCATGCAGCCCATTGCGGTCAACATTTTCTACAAACACATTGCTCTTATCTTGTCGTACGATGGGAAAGAGCGAGGCTGAGTGACATCTTTACACTTTGTGATAATCTTGCCTCACCTGACCAGGCTTCGCTTGTGGTCACAATAAGAAAGCAACCCCTGCCTCACATCAGCTCATCATTCTCATCCGTCCAGCCCAAAACATGTGACGAGGCTCAGGAAACAGACTATGTTGGGATCAAATTTGGTTGATCATCCTGAGGTCAACTTTGGATCTTCGGGGTAGGTCTGTTTGACTTACTCGCCTATCACGATCAGTAGGTATAGTTAGTATCAAGATAACGTCTACCGGTACTCGTTATTTACTAAAGAAAATGCTTCGACTGTCGACCGGAACTGATAGGATCAGGTAAAAACTGCACCTCCTGATTGGTCGTCCGTGATGTAGGTAGGGGACAAGTTACCTAACTAACCCTGGAAGTTGACCGAGAGCCACAGGCACAAGCAAGCCTTAGCTCTTGGCTGGAGAAATAAGCCAAACAGCGTTAGAGCCAAGCTGCGTATATCTGCGCGCCCAGCCTTTAGAAGGCACGAAGAACAGAAGTTCTGTTGTCAACGGCTTCCTCGGGCACTTCTTATCTTAAACTCAAAAGTCACGGCGAGATCTGTGCTCCACACCAAAACCGTTGCATAATAGCGTGAGTGCTAATGTGGAGTGATAAATGTTGCCCCTTTTCAACTCACAGACTCACATGCAGTGTTTATAACCGATCGCCAGTCCTTTCATCTCATGTCTTTATTTCCAGACTATCGGGGCCGAAGGGACCATATCGCGACCCCGTAACGAGTCCGACGATAGGAGAGGTGCCGAGAAACTTAGTCCTCGGCCGCTGTGGAGACAAAATGCGGGCGGCTTCCTTGGTAAGACGCCGGCCAGTGTGCTGTACCTTGAATTGACGGCATGGAGAGTCGACCCTGTCATTGGTTGACAGATATTGCGATGCATGCATCCATCCATCCAGCCCTCCATCTCCGACTTGGACAACCAAAAGGGAAAAAAACAGAGTGGCAAGTCACAACCTGGCAAGCGAGCACATAGTCCATTTTGGTCATGGAGGGCAGGAGGAGGGCAAGTCTTTTTGTTGAACGCCGCCTTCTGCCAGCACAAGCTGAACAGCTGCAGTCAATTTGGAGCCATTGAAAGGCGCGAGAAAGTGGATGTAACATCGCTTGGTTGCGAAGTTTTCCATCTTTCCGTTGGCAAGGGACAAGTCAAAAGACCAATTTCACTAGAGCATTGTCTTCAAAGGGGTCCATCGTGTACCATTCACAAACTCCAACCACACTGTCGGCCCTTTCATCAAGACATCAACCCTCTGGGCACACCTAACTTGGTTGAGCTTCGGGATGCTCCGTATGGTTAGTCCACTCCATCGCTGTCGCATCGTGAACGGAGGGGTTCGTCTCCTCCGAACCCGCAAGAGGTGTACATCCTTCTCGACCACAGTATCAGTACGGTACGCATTTTCTGAGCTCCATCCAGCTGTCGTGGAGAAGAGGGCTGCAGCAGGGCCAACTGATGGGGTTTCCACGAGTTGAGCATGCAGGAGAAAAATAACATGCCTGCCCCGATCCCCCAGGTCTCTCTCGCAGAAGAGACGGCCGAGGCCAAGCTGACCCCCGCTTCGTAGACACCCACCCCTGTCTCCCTGTCACCTCATCGGCAAGCCGACCCATGGAACCAGCCTTCCATCCAATTTAGGCAGGTCGTTGATTGCTGGGGCTGTATCTTCCGTGATAGTTAGTGGCCACAATCAGGACGCATTCCCACCATTACTCCCGCCCCGTACGGATACCATACGGACTACTGTACTCTTTGCATGGACGGGTACTCCTTACACTGGGGTTGAGGGAGTCTAGCGGAGCAATCGACTGGGCTGGGCGTACAATGCACCCATGTTCGTGTCCGCCACTCACACGGAGGAGCGAATTGAACGGGTTTGGTGCCTCGACGAACCCTGGAGTCCCTATCTCTGACCCCTCCACCAACGCTCTCCAGTGAGAGTCCACCTCGCCATATCACATCCCACCCCCCATATTCCCAGCGTCCCGTCCCCCGTGCCTCGTTTTCATCGTCACCCCAACCCGCAGCGCTCTCCTCGATGCATCACGTCCACCACGCCCGGCGCTGAACGGTGCAGACAACGAGCCAGCCATGAACAAGGTGGCCATACAATAATAAACCACGCCTGTTTCTTGCCTGGACGGACTATCCACATCACCGAGTACGCCCACGCCTCCAGCCCGATTGCTGTTCTCCAGCTTTGGCTTTCTGGCGTGGAAAGCGAGACCTGATACGAAGACGAAGAGTTTGCTCTACGCCCACAGATCGACGGCAACATGGTGCTCAAATTTCTCCGCCGTCATGTTCGCCAAGGGGATGTGATGCCAGATAAAGATGATGGGTCGGTGGGAGAATCAGGGGTCGACTTGCTGAATTCGCTCAAACATTTCGAGAAGATGCACCGATTGGACCCGAATTTGCCCCTAGAAGAGTTGGACGAGGTCGAGACTGCCCTCAACACTGCGAATGTCGAAAAGGGCGCCGAAATCGAGCAGATTCTGGCCGAGGATAACTCACCATACCCAGAAGTGAGCAGGCTCGCTCTCGAAGATATCGTCGCAAGTACTGACTGCCATCCAGGTACGAGCATCGGTGCGGAACACAGATGCCGATATGCCCGCCAACACCATCAGAGCTTGGACTATCGGGCTCTTTCTTTGTACTATAGGGTCGGCCGTGAATATGCTCCTGTCGCTGAGGAACCCTTCCATCTTGCTCACGACCTTGACAATTCAACTGGTGGCATACCCACTCGGACTCGGATGGGATTTCATCTTCCCTGATAGAACATTCAACGTGTTCGGGCTAAAGTTCAACTTTCGACCAGGTCCCTTCAACTACAAAGAACATGTCGTCATTGTGGTAATGTCTAATGTACGTCGATCTTTGTGCTGTCCGGAACAAGAGGCTGGCAAGCTAACTCTAAGCGTCTAGGCGGCGTATGGTGGCGGCGCGCTCTATGCTACAGATGTGATAGTAGCACAGGAAAAGTTTTACGGGCAGCATTTTGGATGGGGTTTCCATCTCCTTTTCGGCATCACGACGTTATGTACGGGTTACGGACTCGCCGGCCTTGCGAGGCGTTTCCTGGTCTGGCCCGCAGCCATGATCT